GCACGCCGATGCACAGAAGAGTGGCCCTCAGCCAAGATCCACCCTGGCCCAATCTAAGCGCCCGCAGCGCCAATGAATGCTCAGTGCTGCTGAAACAGCACAGAAGGGAGTTGCGAGCGACCTGAAAGAAAATACCTGTCAGAACTGGCTGCCGAGGTTCCAGATGCGGCCAAAACCCGCCTGGCTACGCTCCCCTTGCGCTCTGGGCATCCAACCGACACGTCCTGGAAGGTGAGACCGCGGTTTTGCATCAGCACGGTGAAGGCACCACGCTGGGCCTGAAGTTCTGCTGACGTGCATGATCCCAACCCCGGCCTATGTGGGGCCCAGCGAGCATCGCATGTTCGTCACATTGGCCCACGGGTGTTGGTGCGCTTTGCCTGCACTTGGCCTGCTTTGGCACCTGCTTTTCCTCTAGTGTGAGCCAAAGCTCTTCGAATTCTTGAGGTTCTCGTCAGCCCCATGCATCCCAATGCCGGTACTCGGCTTGAAATGCCACCATGGTAAAACATGAAAGTACTTTTCTTAACTAGCAGCGTCCACGAGAGTCGCCCAGCTTAGGCCACTACAGGCTTGAAAGCCCGGTAACTTAAAGTTACAGACCAGTGCTCCGCACCGAGGTGCCTGAGAGTCCTGGGAGAGCTACTGGCGCTGCTCGGCGCAGAGGCGCTGCATTCTGCTGGCCCTGCTTCAGCACGCACAGCGCAGTGTCGCACGATCCTGCGACTGGGGGCACGCCGATGCACGGGAGAATGGCCCTCATCCAGCCAATGCTGCACCGTGCAACGAGGCCTCGAAGGCTGCAGACCGCTTTCGCTGCGGTTCGCATGCTTTGGCACCTATTTTGCTGCGCGAGCCAGAGCTCTTAGACCTCTTGAGGTTCTCGTCAGCCCCACGCATCCCAATGCCAGTACTCGGCTTGAAATGCCCCTATGGCAAAACATGAAAGTACTATGAAGGCAAGGCGCATATCTGGCAAAAGCCGGCGCTTTTGAACATGCTGACATGAACACTACATGCTGATGACATTCTCGTGCTGACGCAGCGATGGGGCGGCAAGGCAGCTGGGCATTCTGGACAAAAGGCGCAAGGTCTGAGATGTCTAAGCCTAACCTTCCCAAAAGCCGACGTGGCTGGTTAGCTTGTTCGGATCATGGGCTCTCTCGCTCCGTTGGCGCTACAGAGTGCCAACCGCCAAGTCGACATAATTCCGCCTACTGCCCCAACCACCAGCATCCGCCTCCGCAACAGCCCCTGGAGCCCACCTGGACGCGAGGATGCTTTGCACCAACCCGAGTGGAAAGCCGCGCGGCATCATGTCAGAGCAAGCGGGACCCCACCATTCACCATTCCACACCATTCCTTAGAGAAACCATGGAGCAAGCGTGGAAAACTGCATGCTTGCATCAGAGGATATGGAAACATGCCGTAGGTTGTTACTCATGGCAGTTCAATGCATCAGTGCACTGACTGGTCATCTGTGCAACAACGTATACGAACATGTCTCACAGATCTTTCCCTTCATGAGCAACGGCAAAACCTATAGTGAAAATCCTCCGACACCTTGCCGCTGCGCAACGTGCAAAGGCCACCCTTAAATGCTGGCCGCAAAAATATTTGGGTTCTCTGTAGCCAAGTGCTTGGCAGGATTCTGTGCGGAGATCAGCGGAGCTAACATCTAGCAAACCCACACCGACTGTGGAGAATAACAACATACAGAACCAGCATCAACCTTTCACTGAAAACAGGGCCGAGAGGCAATCACCTTCAAATTGCCGATGCAGCAAACGTAGACTGGGCCTGGAGGCGGCTTTTCCAGGAAGGGTTTTGGGTTGGGTTTAGGGCTTGGGGTTTAGGGTTTGAGTTTAGGGTTTAGGGTTTAGGGTGTAGCACTGGTCAGCTGAACGCAGTAGTATGAAGACGTGCCCACCCAGAGGCCACCCAAACACTACTCACAGTGAAACAAACCAGAGCCAGCCGAACCAAAGCCAGCCCACATTCAAGCACTTCTGCACTCAACGCTGTACGTCGGACTAATATCTAGTATGCTTCCTTATGTCATGGAGCTTGCCTATGAAGATGCCTTGTTGCAAAGCAACAGCTAAGCAGATGCCTTGGGACAGTCATTAGAATAAGAAGCTTCCAAGAGAAAAATCACGTTTTGCTTTGGGGGGCGTCTTCGGCCGGAAGGCCTTCTCATTGTTTCTCTTCTCTTTGCCGGAGTGTCACGGCTGCATGGCGAAAGGCCTGTTGCTCTAAAGATCCCTTGTGAAGGTCATGTCCCTGAACCCTAAACCCTAAATCCTAAACCCTAAACCCAAAACCCTAAATCTCGAGAATCAGGTTTTGCGTTGGGGGGGACCTCTTCCACCGGAGGCCTTCTCATTGTGAGGTTTAACGGTTTGGGGCCTCTCCTTGAAATGGACATCGGACGGGTGTGGTGGGGAATCCTGTTTAAGGACGCGCCTCTGCCCAGCAACGTTTCGGCCCAGGGCTTCCC